GACCGGCTAGGACCCCTCCTCAGGGCCTGGGTGACCGGCTAGGACCCCTCCTCAGGGCCTGGGTGGGCCTGGGTGAGCCTGGCCAGCCCGGCTGGGCCCTGCGGGGCGGCATGGGCAGGGACGGCTGACAGCGACGCGGCTCTTTCAGAGGCGTCCACCCTGCCGCTCGTGGGCGGGATGCAGCGGGCGGGTGGCCTGGGTGGGGCTGGTTTCTGGGCTGAGTCTGAAAGGCGCAGGGACACCCCACCTGGAGGGGGCAGTCAGCCGCAAAGGGGCAAGGCAGGCGGAATGGCTCCCTGGGAAGGTCCCTGCAGGGCTGAGAACCCAGACCGAGGTGATGGAGCCGGAACCCCCGAGATGCTCTAGAGAGGTGACACGTGCGCCCCAGAATCAGGCCAAGGGGCGAATTAGCATCTCCTTTCCTGCTCCCAGACGCCCTGGCAGATGCACCAGAGGGGTACTCACCCAGCAACCCCAGCAGGTAGAGGGTGGCCAGTGGCGTCCGCCGAGACCCCATGGGCGCGGCCTCCTCCTGCCTCAGTCCCGGCAGTGCGGCACCCGTGGGTGACGGTGGATGGCCCCAGGCTCCCTCTCCGGGAGGGGGGCGGAGCTGGAGGGCGTGGGCCGCCCGGGAGCTGGGGAGACAGCAGTGGGGGCCGCGTCACCGTGTTTGAAGTTAACTGTCAACTTCCTTCTGGTAAAACCACCTGCCGGAGTTCGAATGGCGCCTCTGGCCTCTGCCAGCTTCCTGCGTGATGTGCCTGGGCTGGAGCAAGGCCCCACGCCACCTGGGACAGGACGCCTGTGGGGAGCCCCCGGGGGCGGGGCGGGGCTGAGGGCGTCTGTGGGGTCTCAGGGCAGGGGCCAGGGAGAGGACTGAGCTGTGGCGGGGTGGGCGGAGGTGGCTGAGGGGCGCCACTCCGGCTCTGGAGGGGCCCCACCTCCCCTTCGGATTGGGAAGGAGGTGGAGCTTGCGGCGAACCCCCAGGTGGTGGTTTATCAGCAAGCAGGGAGAGGGTTCCAGCAGGAGGGACAGCTGTGTGTGTGTGTGTGTGTGTGTGTGTGTGTGATCACCGTGACACGTGTGTGGGGCTGGGGCTGTCCCACAGGGGCTGGAATCAACCTGGCTGTTGAGGACGGGGCTGGGCTCTGGGTTCTGGGAGCTGGAGGGGGAGACTGGGCTGAGGGTTGGGCTCCAGCACCCAGCCCTGGGTGGTCAGTCCCTCCCTCCAGGCCTCTGCTTTCCTGGTGGGGTCAGCTGAGACCCAGAGGCAGGCTGCAGGCCCTGCAGCGGAGAGAAGCAATAAGGCTGCTCCATAGCTGAGTTTGAATGCCTGTGGCTGCAGCTGCCCTCCCCTCCCCTCCCTCCCCTCCCTCCCTCTTCCCCTCCCTTTCTCCCCCTCCTTCCTCTTCCCCTCCCCCTCCCCTCCCTCTCCCCTCCCTCCCTCTCAGCTGAGGGTGGGCTTCCCCTGCATGGCCAGTGGGCAGCGACACAGCCTGGCAACTGCATCCACTTCCCTCTCCCTCATGTCCACACTTCCAGTCTGCTAAAACCAAAAAGGAAAGTCCAGGCCTGGGAGCAAGGAGAGGCTTCCACCTTGGCTGAGGGGCCTCACCCACTGCCTCAGGCAGAATGGGGTCTGGGGCAAGGAGCCCCATTGTGCCCAGCAGAGGCTGCCACACACACTCCCCACTCACCCCCCCCCCATCCTCCCTGTCCGGTAGGTCAGGAAAGCCCAGGCCTCACCGGCTGCTCCTTCTTCAGGTCTTTAGCAGGTTATGCTGGTGGGGGGGGGGAACGGGAACCTGGTCTCTATCCTGCTAAAACCCCAGTTTTCCCTCAGAGACTGGACCTGCGTGGGTCAGTGGCTGGGCGCACTCAGTGGCCTTTTGCTCCGGTCACCACACTGCACAAAACTGCACTGACAGGGAGGAGGGACTTTTGTTTATTTATTTATTACTATAATAGTTTTGTGCCTTT